ATTAAAAATTGAAATAAATGTGAAAATTCCATTTTCTATCGATAAATTTGAGCATTTGCATGTGTACCTTGCGTCAGCCATCAATCCTGATGTTGCACACCCGATGTGCCGATCTACTTCGACGATTTTCTCAACCGTTGATGGTTCCATGAGTGGAGATGTGATTCGCTTCTCTACAGCCATAACGACTCCTTCAGGCGTGCGAATGCCGATCGCTGTTGATCCCAATTTGATTGCCTCTATGGCATATTCGACTTGGAATAGACGCCCTTCTGGTGAAAATGTGTTGACACCACGATCATATTCCGAACGAGTAAGAAACATCTGAAACAAATAGTAAATTTTCCCGAATAAATCGTTTACGATACAAAGTCAACCACTTGAAGTGTTAATTGTGTGACAATTTCTCAGATATCCCATATCAACCCGTTTCTCTTACCTTTACAAGATGTAGTAGACCAAAATTCAGTTCAATTTGATGATATTTAAATACATTAATTCAAATGAATTCTAGAAATTCCATTTAAATGGACTGCTTTTAAATTGATTGCTTCTACACTAAAACAAATAGCCGCAATGACATGTGTAAACAAATTTGGTTGAAATGTCATTCGTGTTGTATTTCGTACTAAAAATCGATGTGACGATTAGTACTAATGTTTGAATGTAGCTGCATCATGGTGAATTTCCAATGTTTGCAGCGCTTTGACGTAAGATAACGCAAAGCCGATCCATTGTTTTCAACAGCCAGTTTGTACTGTGTTTTCATAAATTTCCCACAATAAATATTCAGTGTAATATTATTAAATGAATGCAAAAAGTAAATCGAATAACAACGTCGTTGACGTGAGCTTAGGCGAAACGGCGGTTACGAGCAAAACTGCTGCTAAAATATTGATTTCAGTAGTGGAGTTCCTATTGTACAACTGGAATCAAATTCCACTGGTGTTTGAACAGTTTCGGTTCATGATAGAGAAATTTACTGAGGCGAAAAACACAACCGAACTCGATGCAATGGTGAAAAATTACAAAATTGAACGACAGCGAAACGAAGCCATTCAAGTTTATCAAAAATATAAGCAGTTTTCCGATGTAAGCATTGACAATATTTTTGAAAAATATTCTCTCTTCGAACTCGAGAGATTTCGGGAAAAATGATCTTATTTTGAATATTTTATCCCTCCAAATAGATTGTTCATAAGTCATTTGCCAACTCAACGATTGAGCAAGCAATAATCACAATGGGATCGACAAAATTCACTTCTAAGGCATGCTTCGAAATCAATTTCCCAAAATTTTCTACCACTGACACACACATCGATTCAGCACGGACAATACAAAGGCAAATTATCATGTAAGTCAACAAGTCAACATTCAAACCATTTATTGAAAGACTTTTGTTTTGGTTATTGTCATTTTTCTTCTAAATTTTAGGTCGATACTACAATCATCAGAGTTTTTCCAGCAAAATAGTGTACCAAAGCCAACAAATATGTACTTTTTCTTGAAGCCAAGATGTGGTGCTTTGGGCACTGCTTTAAATGAGCATTTTCAAGTTCAAAGCAGTCTCAGGCTTCCTTCTACGTGCAAGATAACACAGCTGAATATTCAAACGACTGGCACAGATGCAGTTCTGGGACAACCTTTTCGTATATTCAATGACGATGCATGCGACGATAGAGAGCCAGCTGAGAAAGAGTCCAATGAAATTTATGAATTAGATGTTGTTGTTAAGGGTTTCAAAGAGAAATTTAGTAAAGGGAAATCTTGGTTACAATAGTTTGCAATAAAGCAATGAATTCATTCACATTTACATTTCGACGACTTGCAACAGCTTTTTTCTTTGAAATTTTTTTCACAGCTGTCAAATGCAATTGATGTGTCATACAAAAGTTTGTTCTAAATTCGAACGCAGATTATTCGAACGCGTTAACATACAATTCATTCTGTCATTTCAGTACAAGACTGTGTTTATTTACATTTTTGCCTGAAACAGTATTTTCAATGTTTTTATTTAATTAATCTCTTTTTCTCAACAAAATGGACAAGTATCGAGACAAATATACATCGTTGAATGGACCGACGCACATATCTTGCATGTAATAAAACTTATAGTTTGGCATAAATCAAACGATTTACTTTTAATTATTTCCTTCTTCAGGTTGATCTGCTTACGAGTTGGTGTTTTGTTTGTTCTATGTATCGTTTGCTACCTTATCGCATACATAGCCTGGTCGACAGTAATTCATGAAAGTACAGTGAATGAATTTTGATCTATTTTTTCACATGGAGCATAATTTTCTCATTTATTCTTCTATTAAAAAAACAGAAGAGCCAACAACTAACATACACACAACGAATTCATTCCCTCAAACCAAATCTTCGTCATTCCAGCGAAAGTTGATATGCTATTTTACGACTCCAAGCGACTCGAAAAATGATCTGACTCCGAATCATATAGGTGAGATTGATGCAAAGAGAGAAACCATTTAGAGAAACTCATTATTTACGAAAAAAAAAACACTTTTTCAATTTCTTTTGTATGCTAAGATGCATTTCTATGCACTCATATCAATGTCGGGATTGCAACAATTGGAGATAATAGAATAGTTATCAGTGACACTTTGAAGGAGACCTTCAAGCAAATGCAAACTCTGAAACAAACAAATATGAAGCTAAAAATTCTAATTTGGATTGGCGGCCCGTCGAATTCAATCGAAATTATCCAAATGATCCATAGACATGGTAGTCGTCAAAAATTCATTAAATCTATTAAATCTGCGCTGGACACATATCAATTGGATGGCATCGATTTCGATTGGGAATTTCCCAGCTCTGATTCCAAAATTCATTTCTCGCAACTGTTGCGGGAAATTCGTCGAGAATTTACGGATAAATATTTACTAAGCCTCGCTGTGGCCGCACCAGAAGGAATAGCATATTTCGCGTATAACTTCAACATTCTGAATCAATATTGTGATTATATCAATGTTATGACATATGACTTTCATTTCTACTCAACATCTTCGCCTTTTACTGGTAAGATTCACATAGTATATGCTCGACCAGCAATGCTTGATAATCCCAATTTGAAGAGATACTGTTTTAATTTGGAAACACTAAATTTCCCTATGATTTTTAGGGCTCAATGCACCACTATATAGAAGATCTAATGAACAGTCTGTGTTAGCCACGCTGAACATCAATGCTTCTTTAAGCTTTTGGAATTCATCAGGATTGGATAAGAGCAAAATCATCGTTGGGATTCCAACATATGGACATAGCTTCAGGTATGTAGGTAGAAGTTCAACGCAATATTCATCATCATAATGGTGGTGGATTAAACTCGACGAGGGATTTTTTTTCACAACATCATGATATATGGAATGGTTGCCATTCAAATTCATACATTAGTTTTGAGGGCCTAGCGTAATTATACAAATTGAATATGTCATTTACAGATTGGTAAATCCGTTCAATAAGAAAATTGGTAGTCCAGCTGATGGGTTTGGATCCACTGGAGTTCTAGGTAAATACCATTTTTCACTCAAAAGCATAACTTGTTTGGAACAAAACCAATTTGTTTTCTAGGATTTGTCACCTATAATGATGTATGTGTATTCGACCGCCACCATATATTCGCTACTAAAGTTTTTGACTCAATTACTTGCTCACCTTACATATCCGCTGGATTCGAATGGATTTCATATGAGGACGAGCGCAGTGTTAAGTGTAAAACCAATTATGTAAATCAAGCCGACTTCGGAGGAGTTATGATTTTTTCGCTTAACACAGATGACTATTTATCGACTTGCTACTACGGTGAAAACGACCATAATGACCATACATTCCCATTGACGCGCGCCATCAGAGACTTACTGTTTACGAAAAACTGAACAATTTGGCTGTTAATTTTAGAACAATTTAAGAGATAATTAAGACTTATATTTTAGAAATAATGACTAATATTGCAATCGTTTGAGAACCGACACGGTTAAAATCTTTGTTTAAATATTTGTAAAAGATCTGTTGATGTATACAGTTAATTGGCTCAAATTAGCTCGACGTTTGTAGAGAAGAAAAAAATCATGTCTGTTATATTGGTATTAATATATAAGAAATCAACGAACGAATTTTATACATATGTATACATATTAATATAGACCTATAGGTCTGAAAATACATGCATTGCAGCTCTACCAAATTCAATATTATACCATAAAAGTAGTTCTATTTACCAAGCAAATTGGTCCGGTTTGGTTATCTGTAATATTTTGTGAAATGTTAAATAAAATTGGATATGTTAAAATCTTCATGTGTTCTTTTGTTAAATGGATGGAACAGAAAGAATTTTTTGCCGCATAAGCGAGAAAGCCTTTTATATAGTTCAATAACTCTAAGTAATACTACAACTTTGCTAAAACAATTTTTTTCTACCTCTATTCAATCACACGGGAATATTCGGAGGTAGTGGTAGATTTTCCCATCTTTTCTTCTTGGCAAATAAACTGAATAAAGTCTTGCATTGTATGTTTGCTGATCATTATGAATTACTAGCTCCATAGCATAAATTCTCCGCAAGAATTCCAGCAGTAAAATTTAACCTATGAAACGTACAGACAACTGGGGTAAATTTGAATGAGTTTCCATTGTATCCGTTGAAAACGTAAATCAATTAGCTTCTTTAAAAATAGTCTTTATTTTCGAAATAAAATAATTGTAAGTAGTTTGATTGTAGATGGAAAAAATCGTAAAAATACAAAATAATTTTAATTTCACAATGTTAAATGTTAATGGGTAGTTTTCATTTAAACAGTTCTGAATTGATTACAATGACAAGAAGAAAGTAAATTGTTTAAAAAAAGTCGTATTTCGTTTGCATTGGAATAAAATCAGTAACAGTAAAAGCAAAAGTAACAGTAATAGAACCAGAATTTGAATAACAGAACAGTAGAAATATACATGTACAAGTTTGTTACATTAAATGGTTTCTAACAATAAAAAGAATTAACAATTAACAATATCACAAAAAATTGTCTCCGCGGGACAAATGACATTCCATTCCACTTAAATGTCTGTGTATCCGTATTTGTCGACACCGTTTTTGCCATTGGAATTGCGTTTTAAGCATTTTGGACTAGAATCTAGTTTCTCACTAGCATTGCTGCCGTTTGACAACGATGAGCGCGGATTGGATTGTGATGTTGCCACTGCAGTCGGCCCAAAACCGTCAACTACGAATGTTTCATTCAATGCTGGAGTGCTGTTCATATTGATGATATTCGCATTTCGAGTGGCCGCCTCATCGTTCTCGATGTCTTCAATCACGGCCCGGTATTTGTATCTCTTGGCCAAGAAGATGAAGAGAATAATATTCAGGGCCATCAAACCAGCAAACAGAAAGAACTCGCCCGATTGCGTGTCGAAAACCTTGATCTTGGCGATGATCACAACAAAAATGTTGCCAAAAGTCACAGTGAGCAGCCAAAATGCTTGTAGAACTGATTTCATCGACGATGGTGCTTGAGTGAATGAGAATTCCAATCCAGTGACAGAGAACATGATCTGAAATGAGAAGTTGTTATTATTTTAGAATATTTTCTTTGATTTATTTTGTAAATGTATCATGTTTCGAAACATAAACTCACTTCGCCCGCTGTCACAATCACGTATTGAGGTATTTGCCATAGAATGTGCAGTGAAGGTGGTTCCGTTATTGTATGAACGGTCATCGTCTGCAAAAAAGAAAAACAATTGAGTGTGTTAATTGTCTGAATTAAGACGGATTCAAGAGAAACTGTATCAATATTGATCGAACAATCGAATCAACTTACATAATTATATTGACTAATTTGAGTGATGACCGCCGAATAAGCGGCGTTGTGTTTCAGTTCAAATCCACCAACTTGGATTCCATCGACCCATACAAAATAGCTGCCGACCTCAACTTCGTGCAGTTTATTCAAATCTGAGTGTAATTTGTATGAATGAGCATTGAGCATATTTTGAATCATAATCTCTTTACTGATCACATCCGAACTGTTAACCCACGATGTGATCAAGATTCGAAGGAGTGGCAAAGTGGATTTGGAGCGAGCGAGTGAATCTTCGTATTGCACAAATGCATTGGTTGCGGCTAAAAGGTAGGTCGTTGCTTTTTCTGGAAAAATCTTCAGGTCTCCGTTGAATGAGATTGGTTCGCAAGTGCTGCCCGGTTCTGTAGTGATGTTGTATTGAATGGTTTTCGATGGCTCGTTCTCTTTGAATGTGATGTGTCTCTCGGACCACGCTGAATTCGGGGCCAAGTAGATTTTCTCGTGTGATGGTAAATTGGTTTGAAGTTGAAAGCCACACGACTGTCCATTGAAAATGCGCAATTGCCCTTCTCCTGCTTTAGGCATCACCGGATACGTTTTCTCTAGCTGTAGCTCAAGGAATCCAGACATGGCAAACGCCAAGCCACACAATGTCATGCCAAGCGCCATTTTCCTCAGTGGCGTGTTGATTTTGACTTTCCCAAGCATGGGATAAATAACGAAGTTAAACAGCGGAATGCAAAAAACGACGATGAGCGGATTCATCACTTGCATTTGATCCGGCTTAATGGAGTATTGTTGTGAGATAAAGCCATCCATTTGGGCGGCTTGAAACGTCCATCGTGAGCTCTGCTGATCGAATAGCGCCCAAAATAGCGGGAATGGTATGTACAAAACCAGTATTTTTGCCAAGCATTTAACATCGTACACCAATTGTTTGCCGTACTTTGGTTCGGCATAATCAAGAAAATGATAGCGCGGTTTGGTCAGCCGTTCTTTTGACCGAGTTTTGTACGCTTGCACGATACATTTGCCGATTTTCACGATAATATTACCCGATGGCGGGATCAGCACATAAAACGGCTTGCCAATCACATAAATTACTGTGTGGATAAAGAGAACAAATAAAGAATTTCATTAAAATTACTTTCGAAACGTTCGTGTGTGTTCGGGAAATGAAAGTGAAGCAAACTTACGAATCGAAATGACCATCAATGCTCCCGGCACACCGAATGCGAGCGAATAGCAGCTGAGCTCGCCAAAGCAGTGCACGTTCTCACGCAAAATCGGTGTCAATAATGTCGAAATCATGGATCCCAAATTGATTGACAGATAGAATAACGAGAAGAAGGTGGCTAAATGCTTCGCTTGCTCTGGCAATTTGAATTGATCACCACCAAATGCCGACACATTCGGTTTTATACCACCCGTGCCCATGGCAATTAACAGCAAACCCAGCACAGTCACTTGATTTGTGGGAAGATTTAATGTGGGCACGGCTCCTAGTGTTAGCACCACGGTGCCCAGAGCATAAATCATCGACAAATATACAATCGTCCTATAGAAAGCGAGAAAGAATTTAATTTTTTTTCCACATTTTTCGTTCATAACGTGTAGTGAGAAACAAAAGCGATTGTTTCGATAAGATTTCTTCACTTACTTGAAGCGCCCGAGCCAACTGTCTGCTATGATTGCACCAATTAACGGAAAGAAATATGCTAAACTGGCGAACACATGGAATAAAACCGTAGCATCGTCGTTGGAGTACGCCAACTTTCCGGTGAGATATAGCACGAGCACCGCTATTCAATGGTACAAAACGAAAGGGAAACGTTGATAAAGATGAGAATGAATGGTAAAACTCAAATTATCGGTCATCTGCGGGGAATGTGTGAGCCGATCCAAATGCACAATTTCTTTAAGGTATGTTCTTTTTTTTTACTTACTTCGCATGCCATAGTAGTTAAACCGCTCGCAGAATTCATTGCAAATGATGAAAGCCACCGATTTGGGATATTTCAGCTTCTGCAAAGTGAAAATCAAAAACATGAGTGCAAAAAAAACCAAAACAACAACACGCATAAAAATTTATTAAGATCTAAGTATAAGTGGAAAAGAAAATCAGTACACGATTTGGTTGTGATTTAAAAACCAGTTAAATTTATGCAGACAAATGACACAGTTAATCAATATATAAAAAAGAATGCAGAGGAAATAACCGAACAACATTATCGAACAATTTATTTTTCTATTCAGAAAAATCGTTTGTTTTTCTTCAGTGAAACTGAATTTGAATCCATCGAAATATGTGTGTATGTGTCTATGCTGAGGCAATAATTTTTTTTTGTTCTTCATTCGTATAGTTTACAAAATGCACAATTTTGGAATCTTTTAGCTTGATTTCAAAGCAGTTAGGCTGATTTCAAAACTAATTGCTAGGTTGCAGTTTTAACACCGACTGTATCGTCTCGACCAGGGGTTTGGTCACATGCATAAGCTCGTCTGAAAATTCAATTATGTCCAAACGTGAGCGTTCGACGTATTTTGGCACAACCTTGACCAGATATGCGTTCGTTGAATCGCGCTGAAATACAACATCGAAAATACTTCACATTCACTCACACTACCGATACCGATAAAAGTGAGTTTTGGTGCCATATTTAAAAATATCATTTTCATTAATTTTACACCATTTGAACACAGAATTTATTTCGCCAATATTAACAAAAAAATGATAGAACATACGGCAAAAAAGTTATTTAACATCAATTGTTGTGGCAAAAAAGATCTATTTGTTCAATATGAGTTCAATTCAGGAAGAACACACAATTTACAACCGAAATGTTCATTTTCTGTCTAGTGGAATGAACTGTTTTTTTCTTTGTTCAATTTAAAATAGCGCATTTTCAGGCTCGAGATTGCATGAGAAGAGCTTTCATTGCTTAATTATATTTCATAATTTGAACTACCGCCATCGTCGTTGCTACTGCCGACGTCAGATTATCGCCTGAATTCGACTTCAAAAATGAGATTATCCCACATTATAATTAAAACAGCAGAAATGATTTGTAACATGTTTGCGATTTCCGAATTTTCGCTTTCACTGAATGTGCGGTTGCTGACGTCAGTTTCACACGATGCTTTGTTATTCTGAGTTCCAACCATAATCCGACACCTAATAATGGGCTCGGAAGACCAGAGACGGTTCCCACATTTTCAAGTCAGCTCGACTCAGTCGAAAAAGAAAGAGAGAAAAACAACAGCGGTTTATGATCGCACAGCGGAAACTGCGTAAAACGATGAACAACATTCAATTTAGCAAAAAACGGCAGAAAAAATGCACGAGTGAAAACACCACATATCTTTTTTTGCTTGTATTTTTTTTAAATATTCGTTAGAAATGTTGAAACTTAGTTTGAAGTATTTTAAATGGGTAATGCAATTCGGTTCAACACATTGGTGTGCCTTTGCTGCTTGTCTCGTTGCTTGCACTAGTGCGTGTTTGTTTGAATAGTTTCGCTTTCATTTATTTCTTGCATGGCAAAAAGAGAAAGAGTTTGCAGACGGACTAGCAAAATATTTCCATAAATGCGAATGTTCCATCAATGGCATTCATTTGCGGTATTATGTGGTATCTTTTAGCTTAAATCTCAAATTTCGTAAAGAAAGTGACATAAAGAAAAAGGTCTGAATGCAATAAATGCCATTCCGCAGAATCTATCATAGCCTGGGCGTTTATACAATGATCCTACCTTTCGTGGAGGATAAATCATAAATTTTTATTACAAAATAATCATTAAAATGGTCAAATTAATTTATCAATTTGTCTCTGCAAATAATCTGCAAACAAATGAAGTGAAAACCAACCGTAAAATGAAGAAAAATTAACCCAGAGTTTTAAAAAAGTGTTTATTTTACGATTGGATACTGTTACCCATCATCATCGTTATTGATTACAGCTTGTGTATCGTGAAAAAATATCGCTATGAAATGAATTGAATCGCAATTTACCGGTGAGTTTTGGGCTCATCAACAAGAGCGACGGTGTCGTGTGTGTTGTGTTTACATTTAGAAAGTATGTCGTTGTACGAAGTTGGCACAGCCTTGGTGTGTTTACGAGGCACGTTGATCAAGTGCCCATTTTCGGTTCAATTCAAATGTTAAAAGCATAAACAAAAAGACTCAGAGTAACGTGCAAACGTAATGAAATGAATGAGTGTCTATTTATTTTGGATAAATGGATGCGTAATAACAGAGTACCCGTCGTCATCGTCGCGAGCACGAAACCTTGAATCCAATTGGATTCATATGGAAATAATATAAACAAGTCGATCACGAAAATAGTCTCATTTAAATGACATAATCTCCATACGTCATTTACTTGCTTTTGGATGCACGCGTGTTCATTGACTTGATCTCATTTTTTTCGGCCAATTGTTTATATCGATAAATCAATTGAAAAATTATGCCAAATTAAAATGGTATACAATACGAACGTGAGGGAGTGATATCGTTCATTCGCTCTCTTCAGCACTTTATTGCTTTCATAAGCCGTAAAATCACGAGTGTTCAGTTAGCGTCTGGCAATGACAATGCTGCAGAGTGCGTAATGATCAATGAAAATGCCAGAGAAAGCAAAAATGTGCATAAAAAACATGAAAAATGCTTAAACAATGCACCATCAAGCAGCAGCGGTATTTTTAATGTGGACTTTTCGTGTGTTTTTTCGTTTGAGCTGACGCTGTGTTTATCTCTCGGTCAATTCAGAAGAAACGTGCGCAAATGAAAGGCTGATATACCTATTTAAGTGGATTTTTTTTCTTCAATTCCGTGTTTGTCGACAGTGAGAATTACCTCTTCATTTCAGCAATGAGAATCACTTGTGTAAACAAAGTGTAGCGAATGAAATTAACCTGTGTGAATTTAGTGGCAGTATTTGCGACAGGTGAACGAACAATGTCACCGGAAAGATGGTTTTCAGTTTAAATCTAAATAAATTACAACCAAATTTTTTTCATTTCATAGTTTGCTTTATTAACGAAAATATCAATCTCGTACAGTTTTCATCTTGTTTTATCCGTTTGTCTTGTAACACTCACAATAAATTTGATGAAGTGAAGTCTAACAATGATTTTACAGAGGCAAAAAAATACTTATATGGTGTGTAAGGTCAACTCTCGTTGCTCAAAATGCACATCGAATTTAAAAAGCGATAGAAATCTCCGGGAATTGTTTGTTATTTTTGACACAAAACTAGTTTTTCTGTTTGCAAAATTTTAATGCGTTTATTTTTGTATTCAATTGGTTTGCTTAAATGAAATCATAGCCAATGCCAAATTGAAAACCTTTCCTAAAGAATTGACTATTTCTGTTTGTGAGCGGTTCGCAGTAGTTGAATTCAATTCGAGCCCGTTCGCCCATTCGTAACGCCATTCCAACACCTACGGAGCTGGCCAAATTATTGGCATCCAGCACAAATGAATCAGTTTTACCGCAATTCACAAAGAAATGCAACCGAAACAGATTGGCGAATCCCTGTCGACTAAAGAACGGTAACGGTGTCCAAATGTGTGCACCAGCCGCCATATATGAATGAGCTCCCGTTGCAACACCATCAATATGCTCACCAGCTCCAGCCATTACATAGCCTCGTAGCGATTGTGGTCCACCCAATGTGAATAAACTATTGATCGGGACGGGTGGGGACATTTTTGCTGGTCGCAGTAGGGCGATGCGCGTACAAAATTGTGCCGAAATGCCAGCAAACAAAGGTACATTGAGTTCAGCATGTGTATTGAGGCTTGTGTAACCAACATTGCCACCGGCCAGACCGGCAATTTCGTGCGTAGAACGAAGAAACACGCCGCTGCTCGGGAATATTGTGCTATCACGTTCGTCGATTGTGCAAGTGTGTCGCAAGATAGTTGCCATGCGGGGTCCACAGTTTTTACGCAAAAACAATGGCACTTGACGACCCGTCAATCCAATCTCTCTAATTGATGTCTCGAGCTGAACATTGTGATGAACTTGTGCGGGCAAAATGAACGCTCCATCCAAAATCAAAGCTAAATTGTCTGTTCGATACTTGGACCACGGAAATTCCGCCGAATACTTTGATAAGATGATTGATGTCTCTGGTTTGAAATCACCCAAAAATGTGTGATAGTATGGTTTTGTTAGTTTAATATTGATGTCAGTAGTTTTGTGATTGCTGTAGCTGCCATGTACTGCCAGTCGTTCACCTCGACCGAAAATGTTTGGCGACGCAATTTCGGCTGAAACTGCACCCTCATTCTGTCCAATTTCGGTGCCAATTTTACCGGTGAGTCGAGATAGTTCAACACCATCGAACGACACCTCATAACCATTTTCGTTGGCATTTTCGCCCCGACTTATATCAATCGAAGCTCGTAATGATTTGAAAATGCCAAGCTCTTCCAACTGTTTCATCGATGTTTTCACCTCGACGACGACTTCGTTGAATGTTTTTGCTTTGAAGAGATTCCGAACCGCCCGATTTACATAATCATCATATGTTCTTCCAAGGCCACCAACATTCACATTGTCCACCCGTGCTGAAAATCTCGACAAATCAACATTTCGCTTCCTCGTACCGCTGGCCTGCGGTTCCTCTTTTCTTGACGACGACGATGCACCCATTTTCTTATTTATTTACACTTTTGCAACTATTTTGATTGAAATCCTATGATTTTAACTTTTGGTTCACGATAATGAAATCGGCACTGTAACTATAGCTAGTACAATCCATTTATACAGTAAACTGAGAAAATAAAATGCTTTTTGGTTATAACTAGTGTCTTAAATTTCCGTTGATTCTCTTATTTATTCTATTCCATTGTCGAATTATTGTGTAATTTGTCGAAAAATAATCACCAATTGCGTGATTTTAATTGCAAATTGTTTGCAATTTCGTTCGTTCTCGCAGAAAAAGATGAGAAAAAAAGTCAAATAGAACAACTGTCAAACGCGCGAAACGACCATGCCGTTGTATCGGTGTAAGAGAAAAAAAGATACGCACACACTCACACACACCTCGACTGACTGACAGTTCTCTCGCAACTGTGGTGAATATAGTTTTTCAAATATTCTCTGTCGTCTGTGTATATTGAGACAACTCACCTATTTAACATGTATTTTTTTTTATTGATAGGAAAAATTTGCTCCGAACCGAGTAATGAATAAATTGATACAAATTATGTGAAATTATTCACTTGAAGCTTCTCCCTTTCTAAATGTGTTCAGGTTCGTTTTCCACTACTGTATAATAGAGTCGGTATGGAAAAAAGTGCTACAATGACTGATGATTGATTTTGATACTTTTGAAATGGGAAAAAAATTCAATTAGCAGACAGTTCAGATAATGAAATAGGTTTTTTTACGTGTACTCTTCAACAACAACCGGTTTTGACTAAATGACGTTCTGTGTTTTGACTGTTTTTTATATTTCCATTTTGAGTGTGGATTAATCTTAAATTACAAACTTTTACTACTTTTGGATAAACCCATTTCAACGAATGGCAAATGAACAAAGAATTCGTGAGGAGAAAAAGATCTTTTTAATGCGACTGAAAAACGGTATCGATTATTTAACCGACGCAAATGCTGAAAGACACTCACAAGATATTATCAATTTACGGATATTTTATTTGAATTCAGGCTAACAAACTGTTTATTTTACTATCGAATGCCTGAATGATAATGAAATGCGACATCATCCGAATCATTTAATTGAAAATCGTAAATTCATGCGGATTGTCTATCAATTTAACACCGTTGGAAGAGATATGAATGTGTTTTAAATCTATTGTTTATTGTAATAAATCAACGTAAGCCTTCACTTGGCCGCTCCATTACCATACACAGAGACTGATGATTCGAATATCAATACAACGCACAACGATCGAACGTGAATACATTACATTATGGCAACAGCCAATTTATTCTAATTACGAATCTTAGTGAAACAACTTTATTTATATTGTCGATATGAAAAATGTGACACGTTCCAAAATTAGGCACATAGAATTACAAACAATTAGAATAAAACCTAATTCAATTTGCTGGATTTTGTGTGTATGCGTTTAGTGAAAATGGCCAACGATATTGATTACACGTTTTCAATCTATTGTGAATTATCTTTCTTTGTGAAACAGTTAAATATAGCAACGAAATTTAATGGCAACAGCCAAAAGTGTCTAGGTACGAGAGCCAATATATGATAATTTTTGGATGCAAACCAGAATTATCTGAAGGTGGTGTCACCGAAGATGTAGCAGTAAAATAGCTAACGACACACGTTTTGACCGAAAAAGTTGATGAATATTTATTAACTTGCGTCCCAAATACATAAAATGCCACAGCGCTTATTGGCTCGATCAGAGAACAGAAGTCTACGCAGTTTTAGCTGCAATGATTTTTTTTTTCAACTTCTGAATCGATTCGTTAGATGTTCAAAGTACGGAACCGTTTTGTTTTGCAGTGCACCGAAAATCATTTGTCAACGCTTGATTGATATTCAACACAAAAAGTGTTTGAAATGGAGTTTTAGCACAATGCTAAAAAAACACTAAAATTTATCGCGTTATCATTGAGAATTTTATGCGAGTTTGTTATATTTCAACGAAATTGCCTGGGAAATTTCAAAGTATACATGTATATCGATGGAATTTCCCGCTAATTTGAAACAATAATTGGCTTCAGATGTTTAAACCGGAGTTGTTTTTTTTTTCAACATTGAATCAATTTCGTGCGGTTTTCTCTAGCTGACTTTTTTTAGTTCTATTTCTTCTCTCTTTCTCTCTCTGTTTCGATTGGAGTGTTTTTGGCTCAGTGTCTTTGGCAAAACGAAGTGGTGTGTCAATTGTTTTAACATTATGTGCTAACGGAATATTTCAAATTTATTTCATATGTTTCACTGGAAAAATGCATTGCATTGACTCACTCACTCACTAATTCGCATAACGAAACAGTCGACATTCGATTTCGTTATAGAGAAACATTCAAAATGGCATTTTACCATGTTAATGCGTTAATTATGAGAAAAAAAATATCCAAAGACCAAGGTTTATTGGAATTTCGTGTATTCAATTTTTGTGCAGAGAGATTTAATATTTTGAGGGTCTCAGACATGTACGCACTTTTACGAAATAGATGATGCGATTCAGATGGGAGATAGTGTGGGTATTAAAAAATGGTATTACTTACAGGCTCTTTAACATCTAGCACTCCGCTCACCATTGTGATGTTGAATTAAAATCCAAAACGCACGCCACACAAAACACCTCTCGCTCTCTTGTTGTCCGAACACTAGATCTGTTAAAATTGTTTTCGATAGTCGTACACTTGTTGCTCAATCACCGAAATATTAAGTTTCGTTATAGATGCCAATGTGTTATCTCGTACAACATAGGTATTAATTTATTTTTTATTGTTTTTTTTTCTCTGTTTACACCAGTTACTCTGAAAGAATAATCAACGAGAAACGGGTTTAAGTGCGAAACATTGAACAAGGCAGCAGTTAATTGTTTGCCCATTGCTCGATATTAATAATTTTCGTATTATTGACAGCCGCAAATCGAGCAAAACCTTGAGCATGTTCAAATTGTGTGTTCGGTTTTTGGATCGAGATAAATCTTATCGATGCAGCAATTAGGAAAACTGAATATGAAGATGATGAAATGTCGTTGCGAGCGAATTGCTATAATAATTTATCGTTTGACATTTGAAAGTGGCTTTCGTTTTATTTTTTCGTATCCAGTATCGCACACGACTTATTTTTGTCACATTATCGCGTAGCATGCACCTTTTTCTATGGCTCGTTTTCGTCCGCAAATTTGCACACACTGACCGACTAAACGGGAGATGAGAAAAAATTGTATACTCTCTCTCGGGCGAACGGACGGACGCGCAAACAAGCGTTAAGTGTTTGTAAACGAATAATCAATTTTAAAAACCGCCAGCTCGATTTGAATGGTTAAATTAACGAAGGTGCCAAATGAAATAAAATGAAATAAACGGAAAAAAATGCACCAACACTTTCGAAGGCGTGTAATTTTTGTTTAGAAAGAGGTTTGATTTCTTCATGAATTCTAATCAACGAGAAATTGTGTATGTTTGTGTGTGGTAATTGGAAACTGTTCGAAACGGCTCGGCTCGGTTTTTGGCTTTGGCTCGTGTGGTTACTGGTTGGGCGCTTGCGCTCGCGCAAACACTCACTCACAATAGAATACTAATGACACGGGAAAAATCGAGCGTGTTTTCTGATCTGTTGCACCTCGGTTACATACTGGAATGATGCTGTCAGCACCAACTACAGTTTGCAATTAAAACGAAGCAGAGAGATGGAAGGAAAATGTGTGAAATCATCGATTCAAAATAAATGAAATAAAACAGAAGAGAAAAAAATGAGAAAAGTATATACTGAGAGAGAGATTCGAACCGCAGAATAATACAATAGCGCACAATTTAAACGGTCTATTAATTCAACAATATTTACTTTTATTTAAATTGAAAACTCGTTTGCTAAATTTTTTTTCTTTTTTTTTCTTTGAGTTAGTGTGTCGGCGGCTCACCAGTTTGGTTCATTTTATAATGAAATTACAAACATGCCTAAATCATGTGTATTTTCAATTGATGTAATTATTATGATCTGCTCGAAATGCAAGCCGTCGCAAATTGAGCAAATTTTCAAATGAATTAATAAAAGCTTTTATTCAAACGAATAGAGAAAAACAATTCTACCACAAAATCACAATCGCAACAATTTTGCCGCAATTTTTATGCAATAAACTAACCAAATAAAAATCACGAACACCACACACAGTGTACAAGCACACGAGATATACAAAAACGAAACTGTTAACTGTTTGACGGACTTTGTGTGACTGACGGTGTTGCGATCTTCATCAGCAAGCAACAGCTGAGTACTCAATCGGAGTGTTTAGCAATACAATCGCGCGCAAAGTCTCATTATGTCTCTCAACACACACAGTATTCGGTGTAACCATGATTTCGTTTTCAATGTCTGCGTGAATATCTGCTTTTGTCGTTCATTCTCTTCACTTGTAAATAGCATGAGGAAAAAACGAATTTACACGATTGTTGTTTCAAAGTAATGTGTTTATTCATTTTCACCGACAATAAAACCAAATGAAAACACTTTGAATTTGCAGAAATTAAACACACATTTGACGCAGAATTATGTTGTTGAGTGCTTTGAACTGCTCTTCACTTTTTGTTTTCGTTTGCAAGCAACAAGTGTAAGTGATACATTGAAACAGCAACAATATTAAATTACGCCGCATAGATACTTTTCAGCCAGACATTGTGTGTGTGTGTGTGTGTGTGTGTCTGTTTTTGTTTACATGAACTTGCCGTGCGTTCCAATCGGTATCTGTTTACGGTGTAGTTTTGATTCTTGTCACTGATGATGTGACACATTTTTTTTGTGTCCATGCGCCCAAAAATATGCGGTAAGCATCATTCTAGCGGAAAATTAAGGTCTTTTTGTACGTAGTAAAGGTAATGATGACCACAGCTGACAGCAAAAAATGATCTTGACTGAGTTCATTTTTTTCTAATTTTAGAAAGATTTCAATACGCTCTTTTCACCGCGTTTCAAGTTTTGACTTCCAAAAAGTGTAATTTCTACAGAAATGATTAACATTTATGAACAAACAAAACGAATTCAACAAAAAGACTTTTTTTCGAAAGAAAAATAAAACCCTCGTCTGTGTGTGAGACATATATCGACGATTCCACACCATTGTATATGTCTTTTTGTCTCGACAATATACGCCTAAAAAAGATAGCTCGACGAAAATATCAAGAGACAACGTGCATTGATGTATGCCAAATTGATAGAATTCCATTTAATTGAATCTAAATGAGGTATTTTCTGGTAAATGTGAGTGAACCTGCATAAAAAAGAATAAATTTGGAATGAAAAAGTGGCTTCATTTAAATTTAAATGAAAACAGAATTTGTATCGCATTCATCCATTCATCCATTTTTGTATTCATTCATTGTGTCGGTGAATCGAAATGCGTAAACCAGATTAATTAAATTAGAATAATGGATCACACATGTGGGGGAAAAAGCACTCACACACACGATTGAGTGAATATGATTTAATGAATGAGACGAGTATCATGCATCACATAAGCCCAAATGTATGCTACCAGAAACGTAATATAATGAAAGATGAGTAGCTCAAAAAGAAAATTCGTTAACGTCTGAAATTACCTGATACTTATTCAACAGGATTTGTTTTAACAAATTCAATAGCATGCTTTGATTTGAATAAAATTGAAAGTTGATTTTTAACGGCATATTCTACTTTATTTTTTATATGAAAAAAATATAAAAAATAATTTGTTTTAATTTTAAGTTAGTAAAATTCACATGGTTTGCGACTATACACAAATTTAGGTTGACGGCTTTTCTTCAAGTCCATTTTCTTTTGAATCCTCCGCCTTAACTGGAGCCACACTTTTGTAATTGTATGCAAGCCACATAAATATTAACATGTCAATGAACATTAGGCCGGCGAAAAGTAAAAACTCATACGCTCGTGATTCAAAAATTTCCGCTTCAGCTACAATCACAAAAATGACATTTCCAAAGGCTACAGTTAACAACCAAAAGGCTGAGACGACGGACTTCATACTCTCGGGAGCCTCATTGTAGCTAAAACTCAATCCAGTAACCGAGAACATTACTTCACCCATAGTTATGACCACGTATTGTGGAACCTGCCACAACATATTAACGGAGTTCTCAGGCGAAGATTCAATCATGAATTCAACAAATGCCGACAGCAAAAATGAAATGCCAGCCAATATTCCGCCCAAAGTTAATCTTTGAAGTGGTCGACCAAGGCCAATTTTATTCAAAAAAGGGTAAAGACAGGCTTCGAAAACCGGAATGAACGTAAGGATCATTAAAGGATTGATCATTTGCATTTGATCGGGCTTGATTGTGTAAAATCCGAGGTCACCTTTCATTTT